AAACACAAGAGTTTGAGGTTTAGCCAGATTAGTTCTCAGAATACTAGAGCCACAAGAAATCTGCATTCTGCTTCTTGAGACACCACACAATGATTTGAGTACAACAGCACTACTAAAAGTTCTTTCTCTAGGGGAAAAAAAGTCTGGAAAATATTTTCAGGTTTATATATTAGGTGTGGTGGGGGAAATCTTTTAAAATTATTTGGTTTAATTAGGAAAAGAACTTTTACAAGCATCATTCCAAATTGAAACTGATTTACAGCAAAGTGAAATTACCAGACATCTCCACATACCATCCTTACTCATAAGGATAAACACCTCCAACTACGCACAGTCACAGTGCTTTAATTTATCAACATTTATTCCTCAAAAAAAAAAAAATCTAGGCAGATTCCCACAAACACAGTAGGAACAATTAAAGTACATTTCAAGATACTATTCCAAAAGGTTTTTCAAAAGCGTTAGAAGAGTTGACATAATTCCAAGTGTCTGTTCAGAGCTACTTATCCAAGTACCTGCTACCATTAAATCTCAACTATCCTAGAGCATCACCAAGAAAACCATTTTATCTCAGCCCAGCTAAGTGTCCACATTTACTTCACTCTCTCAACAACTTTCCTTCTAAAACGTTCAGAATTTTGGGGGTAAGTCCTACATTAATATTAACACCTCTACTGGTACCTCTCAAGTTAAACAAGTCATCATTAAATGTAGTGTTCAAACAACAGCTTTAGGTATGCCATCCTACGTTTGAAAAGCAGAACTTTAACACATGAAGGACTCTGCCAATGCTGAAAGCCCTAGAATGTTACAACAAAGATGGCAACTGGATTACAATAATAAACCTTAACTGTGCATATTACACCATGCACACTGCAATGAATTGCTAGTTATTTAATATTAATAATACTATGTTGTATGTATCAAATAATGGAGTCCAACAGTGTGTTTAAGAATCCATAGTCAATTAAGATTAAGCCGTATGACCCACCTGCATTATGTTGATGCTCAACACATATATCAAAGGAGTGCTGATCTTGTATACTGTAACTGCATCACAGGACTTAGATGCTCAATCTAGACTGGGTTCTACAAGCAGTCTAGCTAAAGAAGCAGTTATTGATGGCCTAAATTTTTCTGTAAAATATAGACATGCCCATATTCTTTCAGGAAGAATTTCACTCATATATAAAATAATGCAATCAAGAATTTCAGTACCACTAGAACCCTTAGTGAAGCAGAACACCCCACAAGAGAACATGCTGTGAGGATGGCCAGGGATGCTACAGTTAGAGATCTGCTACCCTGATAACTCCCAAACTCACTACAATCACTTTGCTAGTCCACAAACTAGGATGACAAGAGACAAGGGGTAATACTTTGTAGTGAGGTTTGCCAAGAGATTAGACTGAATATCATCACCACATAAGTACGCTTCATTTTTTTTTTAATAGAAATGCAACTGCCAATAAAAAAAAGGGGGTAACACATTTTTAGCTAGTCTCAAAAGCTACATACGAATCCACATATACAGACACTCATAAATACAGAGCCTCATGCATAAGGTATCCAAGTTCTAACTTCCCTCAGTCTAAAACGTCAAATGCTACTGGATTAGGGAGTTTTAAGATCAGCATTTGTACATATTTGTCAAAGCAGAAGAAAGCAACAAATAATATATTGCCCAAAGCCTCCTTTACAGCAATACAACATTTGCCTTAAAGAACCTGCAACAAGTACCACGTGGAAACCAAAAGACCCAAAACCTTGAAGCAGTATCATTTAGGCTTTTAGGATGTAAATTTCAGTGATCCACTCACAGCTGCTAGATTATGCATATTGCCTAAATCATCACTGATTTTAAAGGAATCTGATTTTTAAAAACCTTTTCTCACTGTGTCATAACGGTAGCACATTGACAGCATCACTTTGGCATTCCTTTGCTTTTTAGGACATGTTTTTACTGCCTATTCTCATCATCTGTTTATTTTTGGCTTCATTTTTCTAAATACTGAAGCTGCCCTATCAGTTTCACAGGCTTATAAATGTTATACATCAAAAATTAGTTTCACTTATTAAGGCAGGAAACGGCTTTAAGAACTCTGGGATCTGTGCCTCAAAGCAAAAGCTTTATCAGCAGGTTCCAGTCACTGCTTCTTGCAAAAGAAAATGGTGCCGATTAAAACCCCATACACCTGATTTCAAAAAGAACACCTACCCATAGAACATTCTTCACATGGCTGCAAGGGGGGCTGTACCCCAAACAGAAGGCAGCTGTTTCTCATATACTTCCTGCCCCCCAACCCTGCAACACTGCTCAAGAAAAATGAAAACTATACGTAAAAAGATGAAGTTGAGATAAAAGAACAGTAATTCATCGACTTATTTCTCTAGACTTCAGAAGTGGTGTATTTCAATACACTCATAGTATAGTTCCATGCCTGACTTCCTTACAGTGTTGTGTTGCATTTGGAAGTTAGAAGGATACAAATAGCCACATACTTCAAAAATTAACTCACTTCTAAGAAGTATTATGTAGAATGAGTTTTAAAAGGGGCATTTCTTCAAATTGCAAAGAGAAGGAAAGTAGCAATTGAGTCAATACTATACAATATGAAAGCAGTATTTTATTAATTGTACTTATATACAAAACAATAGTTTTTTTAATCAACCTCTTCCATAATCAAATTCTAAAGTTCTTCACTGAATCAGAATTAGTCACTGTTAGAATGATTTCTTTAGAATAAAAAGTATTTTAAAAGATCCATTAAAAAAATACAGCTTCCTAAAACCACAAAGAAAAATGAATCTTGCAGTGGGTTATGTAGCACATCTTCACAACAATAGAGAACCCCAGTGAATTCACATGGATTCTGCCTCGACAGAAGTCCTCGTGAGATCAAGCCAGTCATTTGAGTTTTCCTTCTTTCAACATACTATTTATTCAGATAAACCCACTTAACCAAAACCAAGTCAAGGCTGTGAATACTAATAATGTTTCAAGCATTTTGTTTTCAGAATTACAACATGCTAATATTTGAAAGTCAACAATTTGGAGCTAATGTTCCACAAATAATAATACATTGCTGTAGCACCTGGGATATGCTAGATGTTGTACAATCCCATGGCTACTGAAATCAGATAACAGTTTATCATAAATATTACAAAACCTTAAAACTTCTTACATTAATTTGTTTTTATAGTCAAACAATTTGCACTAGAACCTCAGTATGTTTTATTGATTATGATACTCTAACCACTTTAGAGCAGATGGGATAATGACATTTGCGAAGGAGAACAGCAAGTGTTTTTCATATTGTAGACATGAAAGGTAATATAACAGTATCACAGTGAGAAGCTGGTCAGACTTAAAGGGAACATTAGGACACATTCCTATCACTGTCAATAGCTGTTATCTTTATAGATTGAAGTTTTGTGATCACTGGTAAAAAAGCAGGTAAGAGTCTAGTCATTAGAAACTGCCCTGAGTGACTAAATGTAGGAGTTTGGCAACTGTATAAGTACACGCACTGAGGAGCGGTTTTACCTAACCTTATTTAGGGAACCTCAAGAACTATATTTCCCATTTCAAAAGCCATCCGTCTTTAAAGCCATCACAATATTGTATTAAACAGATCTAAATCTATAATTTTACATTAAAGCTTAGATTGAAACCCTGTACTTAGGAAACATTTTAAATATTTGTATGAGAATGAGAAGCATTCACAATTTGTCTTTAATGCTTTTCTAATACCTCTGAATTTTGCTAGTACATACAGTGGACAGAAAATTTCCATTAACTCCATGAAGATAGAAGAGTATGCAAGATAGAATAATGAAAGCAAAAAATATATAATTAATTTCCAATATAAATTTATATAATTTAAATTACAAATATTCTAAATCAGACTTCTTAAAAATTATAGCTACTCCACTCACCTCAAATAGTACTTAGTTATTTTTTTTTATGACGTGGCTTCAAAACTATTCCAACTATCTTTTAAACCTAATTTTCTTTCTTTGCATTTTCTCCCCTGCACACAAATAGCAGTGGGCACAACAGCCTTCATGGACTTCAATTATGTACTTCAGCTGCTACCACCTACCATACGTGCACCAATTTAACTATTTTTTATATGAAGTTGCAATTACCAGAGGTATCTGGTAGATTCCTCACCAGTTTAAGTATTCATTCAGCACTACATACAAATTTAAAGGGTCCACTTTTTGTAGGAAAGAGCAGCATAGCCTTCATAAAATTACCCAGACAAACCAACTAACAAGACAACATCTTGAAAAAATGGAGTTTCTCTCACCTAGTATATAAATGCATATCTCAAAACAAAAAAATCTAACAATGATGAAAAGGAAGAAAAAAAATCTGTTCATTCTATAAACATCATTCTAAGGCTACAGCAGTATGTTTGACATCTACCTACTCTCACTCTTCTTCTTCAGAATTCTTCCAGCCATCAACTCCCAACCACATGAATACGCAGGAAGAAAGCACTGATGCACAAGTTTGAGTGTTATCTGTCCTTATTTGGGCATGTCTTGCTCTAAACTTGCTAAATCACTACCTTTCTTCACGCCTCCCAAGCTTATTGGGGAGGGAATGCAAAGAAAAATCTGAGGCACAGGGAACTCACTGGAAGGGAACATCCTACTCCTGTTTTCTTGGCTTGCAACATACAGAACAACCAAAAGCTCAATATAGATGAATAGTTGCCAACTCTTCTGACTTGTGGAGTTGGCATGAAGGCTTTAAAGCACAGTTACTTGAGATCATTCACGGTTCTATTTTCAATTCTTATCCATAGCTACAGCTGTCCAAGCATTACTAGATCAGCAGCAAAATCCTTCAAGTACTGACAGAAATCTGCTTAGGAAACAGGAAAGATACCCCAAACAATCCTCAATGCTATTTTAGTTATGACACTTTTTGTACAGGTGTACAAAACTAAATGCTTCCTCAGAGCTTTTGTTAATAGCGCACTTACCTCACGAATGGCTAATCTATCACTCAGCTCCTCAGCCTTATCAATGTCACCTTCAGCCACAGACTTCTCTATGCTAAGTTCAAGGCCAGACTAGAAAAAGAAAAGCAAATATTTTTAGGACAAATAAAGAAATAACACGTTTAAAGGGAGCATCTCCTTTCTAAAAATACTTCTTTCATAAAATTCTTCAAGACACTGCATAAACCTGTAATTTCTATGTAACACAAATCACTTTGTCTATGTATTGTAATGGACAGTATAATTAAGAATTCACTGAAAGGCTGTCTGAGCACAAATCATTGCATTAGTTCCACCTTACATGCAGGATAATACTGTAGGTTAAAAAAATTACACGGACTAGTTTATGCCTGTCACAATAAAATTTCATCTGAAGATCTGGCTTATCTCTTCCATCCCTGGAGCTTTCTAAACAAAATGTGAAATATATGTGTCAGGTAACATGAAGAATGGCAATTACTACTGTATCGTTACAGTTCTAAGATCTTATCTTTATCCAAAACCTGAGTTCTGGCATAGTGCCACTCCACTATGCTAATAAATTAAAAATTCTAGCAGTCCTATGGAAAACAATGAAAAAGCTTCAGAATTTAACCTCTGAAAGTAAAAAAATAACCTTCATGATCAATGTAACATAACTTGTTTAATGACAACATTTACAAATAATGTAACCATAAAAAGTAAATGTTTACTGGAAATTATAGTTGGAAACTTCTGAAGGAATACAGAAAGGTAGCACAGCAGTAGGCACTGACTTCAGAATTTCACACAAAAATCACTCTCATAACAAAAGACAATTTACAGCCTCACTGCTTTTAAATATTAGTGATGCTAAAGAAAACCCATTTGACAGTTTCGTAACATACACTTTTTTAAAAGATAAAAGCAAAAAAGGAAACAATTCTTGAGAAACAGTGATCTGCAAATACTGCACTTGAATTATTCAGGTGAAAGTTGGGAAAAAAAAGAGAAAAAAAAGAAGTGCACAGCTGGAAGTTGCAGTGATAGCAAATTGTTACATGTCTCTTCTGAAATTAATGAGACATAAGTTCCCTGACTGATAAACTCTCTAAACTTGTGGAAAGCATCTGCATTTTAACACTTTGGACCTCATTCCAGATCTATCCTGAGCAATTTAATGACAACTAAATACCCACCAAAAGTAAGAACTCAGAATTGACAATGTCTCATGATTTGCATGCAGAAACTTACTTCAAGCAAATGAAAAATACAAAATTTACCATAAAGGCAGCTAATAGATCATTTGATGTCATAGAACTTATACAGGCCTTTACCAGGAAAAGTACAGGACAAACGGTGCTACGAGGAACTCACAATATAATGAGTTTCTTAACTTGTCCATCATGTTGTACCAGTTATTTCAAATATGACTGGTTACACAATAATATTTATGAACAGAATGTGTTATAAGTCCAGTAAAACTGTATGGTAGGTTTGGTTCTCTAATTCCTATAACCACTGGTGTCAACTAAAGGGTTTGACACAGTTTGAAGTTAGAACATGACTAAAAAAACAAAAGGGGAGAAAAAAAAAAAGTCAAACAATGCATATGAGGTCTTCTGTCTCATGATAACAGAAACCAAAAACCAGACAGGAAACAAGCATGGACACTGTCTCGAAAAAAAGCACATAAACCTTTCAATCCAAGTACGATTCACGTTGTATCTAAAAGGAAATGAATTAAAAATGTGCACAAAATTATCCTTCCTCAGAGTGACTTGATCATTTACTCACTTTCAAATAGTCTCAGTTTTATTCCTATCTCAGTTAAGGCTGAGGTCTTTTACTGCCAAGTAGAAGCTGACATTGTTTTGTATCAACAGTCACCTTTTGTGGAGCCTTGCTATCCACAGGTGATTCAAATCTATCATTGATTCCAAAGTATTGTGTAAGTTCTTTCCATTTGTCTTCATTTGCCAACTGTTGACTACAACAAACAACAACAACAAAAAGTTATTAATATAACCAGTTCCCTTTCCACAACCTGTAATATTCTTTTCAACACTAAAAATGCTTCCATTTGGCAGACATGGTCTTTTCAGCCATTCACAGTTTTTAATGGAAGTGAAATTAGTTATTCCTTCCCCTGTGTAAGCATAATGCCACAATCTTGAAAGCAAGCTTGTACGCAATTCCATGCAAAACATCATTAGGAGTAACATTAAGTCCATTTTAAGTTACATTAAATAATACGTTGTGATATTTTTAAAATCAAGCAATAAACTCCATCAAGCAATCACTGGAATCAAATTCAGCCTGTCCGACAGAGACACTGAACAACTTCAGCAGATATTTTACATGATGTTCAAAGCTAGGCTTTAGCCATGCATGCAGTCAAGCTTTTTACAGGTTTTGCGTCATATTAAAAACAGACCTCAGATAATCACATTGACCTGATTATACCTCTTAGTCACTTCATCGTTCTTTTTCTGTTTTTCTAGGGGAAAAAAGAAAATAAAATCCAACATTACACAGTAATACCCTACAGCATCCAATGAAGTTAACAGAACTCTAATTGGTCACATTTCCTTTGAAAGATTGACACACTAGGACTTTTAGCCAATGATCACACGGATTTAAACCACTCAGCTGTAAGACTTTTCATACGAAGAAGCTCCTACAATATCTTTGAAGAAATTCTAACCAGAATACACAAAACTATGTTTTATAGAATTACTGAAATACACTTAGCCATTATGAAAGAGTACTGAGTAAGTTCTACCTTCTTTTTAAAAAGTGGACAAATGTATTACTTGAAGCAGCAATTTACAACCTAGTCCTACAAGTGATGTATACAACTGGAAAAATAAAATCCTAGATAATAGCTAGAGTACATTTACTCAGGCATTCAATTCTTGGTAAAAACACCAAAACCAAACAAAAAAAAACAACAAAAAAACCTCTCACCAACCAGCACTTCCAATGTATTTGATACGAATACATTTTTGAGAAAATAAATTCTGTAATTATATAAAACACCTTTTCTGTGGCGCTTTCTTTTTCGGCTTTTGTTTCCCTGATTTGCTTGGGTCTTCATTTCACGGTTTTTCTTCTGAAGCTCCACAAATTTCTACAAGATTAAGAAAAAGCAAATCAGTATTTTTAAATTTTTTCCCCATTTTAAAAAAAATTACATAATGTGCTGAGAAATGTTGTGCTAAAATCTTATTCATCCACAGTACCTTGTTATATCTATTACATTAAAATTTATGCATTGAGAACATCCAACTTTGATGGTGTCAGACTGGAATTAGCTCTAATCTTTCATCACCTCTCTCTGACTTTCTGCCCTCCCTAAATCCCAGAACTATTCAAACCCAATGGTCTTCTCATGGGACATGACACTGAATACACTTGTGCTGGCTGTGCACTCCTGAGCTATTCAATGTATTGTTGTTGCCTAGCTGGCAGTTTGTAGTCCAAGTATTACTGATAGCACAGTCTTTGCACAGCAGGCTACCTACATGGATCAATGGTTTCTGCCAATTCTTATTTTGGCTCAAAAGCCTAAAACACAGATTGGGGTTTTTTTTCCAGGCTTTACATGCAACAGGAAAATCAAGAGGTTATAAGCAACTATGAGTCTGAATGCCTGCAACTAACCCCTATAGAAGGCAGAAGGGTACACCTCTACTTCACAGATATGCAGCACCAGTACAGTAGCTGATACACTTAGCTGTATAAGCAGTTACAGAAACAGTTACAGTTTCTTAGCTGCAGAAAGCAGTTACAAAGAAGATCTGAGCCCATACGCTACTGAAAATGCAAGTCTTCAGGGAACTGTATAGTTAGCCAAACACCTCCTTGCCGTGCTTTCAATCACCATTGCACTAGTGGGAAAAAAAAAAAAAAGCTATATTCACTTCCTATCTAAATTCCTGTCCACCCTACTTGAAACAATATAAGGTATATTACGATGACTGTACTTTGATCATATTTTATTGCATTGCAGATTTGTATATCAAATATTCAACACTGAGTTATTTTAATTTAAAAATCAGCCATTCAACTTTTAAGTATGTTGCATTTATGCCCTGGACATTTGGAGACCTGTAATGATACCCACATTCCACATATTTAAAGAAATTCCAGAAGGGCACGTCTGAGATTCGTTTTCTCCATCTGCCACTGATATCACAATGGGTTCACTGATGGCATTACTTTCAGGTCCATTCTCTTGGAATTCAGAAAGCTGAGCCCTTTCAATACCTCCTTTTGCATCTTCCTTTGAAAAGGAACTACACGACTCATCTCCATCATCAGAACTTAAGTCAGCATCACTTTCATTCAGTCCTGGAGGTAACAGTCCGCTCCACATCTTCCAGTTTAAACAAGTCCAAGCCACTTCAAGTCACTGCAAAGACGCTAGAGTTATGTGAGCTCACCCATTCCAAGATAAAAACATAATTAGCCTGCAGAAGAGAGAAACAGAAACAGCAAAACACATCATCAGAAATATTTTAATTTCTCTTGAGAAAAGTAACTATCACTAGATGCTTTAAACAAGCACATTACAAAGCTTCTAATACTTACGATCTCAGAGAGAAGTAGCGAATTTAAGTACACAGGTTGAAGCTATTAGCTTTTTTTTTTTTAATTCCCCTTCCTTGCTCTTTGAAGTTTTGCCACTCGGCATTTGTTTATAGCTGCTTTCAGTTGAAGGGCGATACCGCAGCAAACGCCTCCTGTCCCGTCCCGTCCCCCCCCGGGAGAGCGCGTCCAACCCTTCCACGCCATCGCCTCCCGGGACAGCGCAACCGCCTCCCGGGCAAGGCCGGCCACGGGCGAGCTCCGCCGGCCCCCGGGGAAAGGGTGAAGGGGGGGAGAGGGAGAGAAGAGCCCGCCCGCGGAAGGCGGTAGGCCGGGGAAGCGAGGGCAGCCCGCTCCGGACGAAGCGACGAGGAGAGCAACGCCGCTCCCAGCCTTCCAGGGCGGGGGAAGGCAGGCGGCACCGCCCGCCCCTCCAGCCCCCCGCAAGCCCGACGGCGCTGCCCGACCTGCCCGCGTCCCCCCCCGGCTCCCCGCACCCCGGCCCCGGCGCCGGGATTCCCCTCCCGGCCCTGTTTACCTGGCCGCCATCTTGTCACCGCCGGAACACCCCGCCCGCCGATTGGACTCTGCCCCGCAGCCAATCAACGAGCGCTTTGCTGCCTCAGGCCCGGCCTCTCTGGCCTCCACGACGACGGGGCGGGGCGGGGGGCTGGCGGGGGGGCGGGCCGGGGCGGCCTGCGGCGGGGCGAGGGAGCCGGCCCCGGGGGGTGAGGTGCCGCCTTCCCGGGGTCTGGGGGGGCATGGGACCCCTCCTCGCTGTGAGGCCGCCCTGGGCGGGGGGGACAGAGCAACTTCCTCGCACCCAGGAGGGCTCCAGGAGTGTGTGGCGGCAAGGGGAGGTGGCTTTGTCAGAATTGACAGCGGTGCTCTGGAAGGAAGGCAGGAGACAAGTTTTACAGCGATCCTCATTGCCATATAAAGGACTGCGGCGCCTATTCCAAAATTAAACCTTGTAATTTATACAATACCTAAGTGTTAGTGCTGGGATGTTGTGTTTAAACACCGGACGGCAACTAAGCCCCCCACAGCCACTCGCTCGCTCCCCTCTGGTGGGATGGGGGAGAGAATCAGAAGGGTAAAAGTGAGAAAACTCACGGGTTGAGATAAAGGCAGTTTAATAGGGAAAGCAAAAGCCGTGCACGCAAGCAAAGCAAAACAAGGAATTCGTTCCCCACTTCCCACGGGCAGGCAGGTGTTCAGCCATCTCCAGGACAGCAGGGATCCATCACGCGTAACCATTACTTGGGAAGACAAACGCCATCACTCCGAATGTTCCCCCTTTCTTTCTTCTTACCCCCGCTTTATGTGCTGAGCATGACGTCATATGGTCTGGAATATCCCTTGGGTCAGTCGGGGTCAGCTGTCCTGGCTGGGTCCCCCCCCAACTCCTTGTGCCCCCCCCAGCCTCCTCCCTGCTGAGAAGCAGAAAAGCCCTCGGCTCTGGGTAAGCACTGCTCAGCAGTAACGAAAACATCCCTGAATTATCAACACTGTTTTCAGCACAAATCCAAAACATAGCCCCATACTAGCTAGTATGAAGAAAATTAACTCTGTCCCAGACAAAACCAGCACATGGGACAGGATGACTAGGGTTAGCAGCCTTACTCTTCAAGGATAGAAAAATCCTTTTCAAGTTCCCACTAGTGTCTTGGATTAATGTGGTACAGAGAAAACCTCAAAAATGTTAGTCCCGGATCTTGCAAGGTTGTTCATTGTGGATCGTCTTCCAGCATCAAAGCTCATATTTTCCTTAAACTGCTCTAAGGATGTGGAAAAGCTCTTAGAAACTCATTGGGAATTCTGAGCTAAATAGCACTGTGCTAGGTGCTTCAAAGGTGAACAGTAAGTCTATGAGAGCATTCAGTAAAGGACTTGCTTATTTGGAAGATTCTCTTACACCTAGTCCTTTCAGCTTTCATAGGTGAGGCAGATGAAACACGTATTTAGGAGCAGCCTGAATAGAATTCAGCAAGAACATCTTGCACGTAAGGAGCAACGGGAAGGGAGGCATAGAGAAACTGCAAGAAAAAGATGAAGGGATAAGGCTAACATCACTAGCACTGAAATGTGTCTGTAAGAAGATGCATTTTTGAGTGATGTTTTGACAGGTTGAAAACTAAATCTCAGTATCAAGACTACTGAGAAAGGAATTGCTGACACCAAATCAGGACACAACCCAGTGGTGGACAAACAGTTCATTGATGAGGGGAATGAAAAAGGGGCAAGAGTTTAAGTGTTATGAAGATGGGTAATAGGGAATATGGCTTTAAGTAGGGATTTCTTGGTGGATCACAGCTTCTGGGATTGGCTGTGCATGGAAGGAAAAACTACACACCTTTCTCATGGACATAAAACAGATCTTCAGATTAATTTCCTTTTTATGCCATAATTTTACATCCTCAGATTCATTTCTAAAATCAATTAATTCCGTAAGTAATCACTTTTTCATGAACTACATGTAAATTTCACACTCAGCTTGCTAACTAGATTTTCCTCTCATCTGGGAAATCAATTTTTAAGAGATTTATTTTATTTACATTTAATAATTGATATACAGATAAGTGGTAATTGATAAATGTATTGATATTGGATATTAATTGCCATTTGTTCTAGCAAGATGTTAGACCATTAGGCTGCATGATATTTTCTTAATGTGAGCTAATTTGAGAACACTCCAAAAATTGAAAGATGTGTGACATCTTTATGACCTGTAAATTTATATCTTTGGTAGGGATACATTTTCAGAGGGCAAGTTTAATTTCATGACGCGATTTGTATCCAAACATTGTGCTCCTCATTTAATATCCACAAGCCAATTTGTGGCACAAATTGGCACTGGTAGTGCACACAAATGAAGCACTCAAATGTTCACCTGCATTTAATTTGATAATTACAAATTCACTGTATTTGTAATTTAAAAAGCCAAATTTCAGGATAATCTCCAGTTCTCTCACAGCAAATTCTGACTTCTCCCAGGTGCTTCTATGAGAAAGAAGGTGGAAAAAGCTCCTCCCTGGCTTTCAGCAATCCAGAAGCGTTTGTATTCAAAAGGTCAGTGATTGCTGAAGCAGCAAAAGAGATTGTTGGTTACTGAACAGAATTTGCAACTTATTGTTTTTTTGTTGAAAGGATGCATATGTAGAGTCTTTTTATCTGGGGAAGAAAGGAGAAGGCAGCACACCCTTTTGACCAACACAGATGTGCCTACATCAAATTTGTGAGGGCTGCTGTTGTGTCCAAAACTTGATTCAGTGTCGAATTCTTCTCATGCCAATTTTCTGTTCCATGTCGAGCAAATATTCAAATCATGTGATTTATTTCCTTTTGGTCAACTGATCAACCTTCCTTTCTCACTTGAATTCCTGTCCTGGAGACCTGCCAAACAATGACTCCTGTGAATGAAATGAGTCATGCCTCCCAGATTCCTGTGGAACATCGAACTAGGGCAACACAGTAATTACAGGTTAGCTATTTTTGATGATATTATTAAAAACTACTTGAACTTTAGAAAGAAGGCCTACTGCAATTAGATGTAACATCAAGTTTAACTTGAATCTTTCAGGATCGCTATGAATTTTCAGGTTCTAGGTGATTTTCTCTGTATCTCTGTTCCCTACCTTTACCTTCTGCTGTTGGATATTTACTTGGATACTACTTTGAGTCCCAGTTGTTATAGTTTACTTTGTCAGATGTATTGTCTTGTGGCAATAGGAATATGAGATTCCCGCTATGGGAATCTCTGTAGAGCAAAGCACACGCTCTGCTCAGGAATTGGAAACAGCCCATCTGGGGGTTGGTCTTTCTATTGTTACTGTAGAGTAACCAAGTATTAGTGTACAGCACTATGGTACTTCTAGTTCATGCTGTCCTGAGGTAGTCTTAAGCAAGGTTGCTTGAGAAGAGGATAGCCTGTATTCATTTGGGTAACAAATCTGTGCTTCTGGTGCTATTTTTACTCCTCATACTGTTTAGGATGGACTCTTCATACCACCACCACGTTTGGCAACATGCACTGTATCAAGCCTGAACAGAGCATTTTTCCACACCTTTGCTTATTTTCATATAGCAGCACTGAAAGGGAGCTAGTGAAAGAGTGTTTCTAGTTTCTGGGTAAAAAGTATTGATTATGGTCTACAAAACTCAACATTGCTTGGGTTCTTTTGAAACACTTTCTTAATGAGTAACTGTAACAAAAGTGGTCAGATCTGTCAGGTATCAGAAAAGCTAAGGGCTGTGTACATGCCTCATCCTCACAGCAGGTTCTCACGGTGGAATTCTTTTCTTCAGACCGGCTAGAGGTTAGGTTGTTGGGCTTCAGGACATGGTGAAAGCCTGAACTATTTCCTCAGACATGTGCTTGAAGCCATGTTTAGCTTATCATAAATAATCATGTACATGCTTATTTCCACAAAATATACACAGTTTCCTAGTACAGAAATGGAATCTACTACAACATAAATTATGCATTATTAGCTGTTCCTTGGTTTTTAGCAGTAAGTGAGGACATCAGAAACTTTTTCTTAAGCATGGAAATATGCTACATTTTATCCTTTTGAGACAGTGTTTTGGAAATAAGTAGAAATGATCAAGGAGTGAATTCTTGTTTAAACATAATAGGAAGGCCTTATTGTATTAGCAGATTACAGTTATTGTGTTAGTATACTATCTACCTTGTATTCATTTTTGCTAACATAATGAGAAATTTTTCTAGCATGATTATATTTTAATACAATAAAATAGTGTTGGAAAGGAAAATTAATATGATTTTAAAGAGAGATGTAAAGACAATAAAATAACCTGTTTTCCTCCTAAACTTTTAATTTGTTGCTAACTTAAAAAATACTTTTTATTATTTCTTTAAAATAATTATATTCAAATGAGCATTTAAAGTCAGTTAAAAGGATTACAGAGGGGTTTTTTTACCATGTACTGTGCCATATAAGAACCAAATTAATTCTTGCTAAACAAACATTACAAGAACCATCACAGAGACAATTAATGGAAATCTCCAAAGAACATTATCTAAGACCGTACATTAAAGTATATTAGTAAATATTCTATAGTATATA